AGTAAATGAATCTAATAAAACGTGCGATGTAGGGATTTGATTTTATATTTTAATAAACCACTGAATTTATGATTCATATCTTTTTCTTTCTTTTTTCACTGCTTCACAAGTTGTTAAATCATTATAGACATCAAATTTTTGTGTTTAAAACTCAATCTATCATTAAAATTAGAATATTGCTCCATGTACATCAAGAGTTACATAATATTACATGACACTTTACTATTTAATTAATGGCCCACGCAAATGGCAACGGTTTGACTATCCATAAAATCACCTCGAGTTTTTATATTTTTCTGTATGCTATGCACGAAATTGGTCTCCATCCCTAACATTGGGATCTTTTGTGCAATTTGGCGGCTTCAACAAGCAATCCGTCCTAACTTGTAATGGTTAAGATTGTTTCTACACTCATCGAACTTTGGGTAGTGAGCACTACCTTCCCAAATACCACAAGTGTGGCTCCTGTCTACTCCAATGATGTTTCTACACCCATGTTTCACCACCCCACCCCTCCGCGCAAGCATTGAATTAGATATAGATACCTTAAAACACGCGGCCATTAAGTGCTATCATCACTGTTGATCTTAGTTTGGACCTCAAGACCTCCGCTGCATACGATCTCAATGTGACAAACAGTTCTTCGATAGTCCCGTTATCATTTGCTTCGCATATCTTCTTACCTTCCAAGCGACATTTTTAGTAATATTTATCTTCATGTCCTCCTTCACAGTTGCTTGCATGCTTTTCGTTTTCCACTTTGGATCTGCCTTAAATTGCTTGATATACTGATGGACTATGAAAATATAGTTGCAATGACGATTATATTGATCCCGACTGCATGTGTGTCGAAGTGTATATAACTTCACTTGCACTGTATCTAAATTATTCATCTTGGAAGCAATATCCTCCATTTGCACTCTGCTTTACATATGCCTTGAACTATTATTTCGCCATTTGCCTTACACTTTACATTTAATCCATTTACTGCACCGTAAATCTGAATAGCCTTCCTAAATTTTTTATCAGAGCAAAACAACTGTCCGACCTGAAAATGTGGATATCGCATATCCATTTCTGTCGTAAACTCCGGAAAACGATACTCAACCTCATCGTCAGATGACATACCCGAAGTTATTATGGATATTCCAGATCATCAGCATCGTGGTCTTCGTCGTGTACCACTATCGCATAATCATCTTTCTCTAGTTGAGTTGCACTCTGTCACAACCTAACTCAATTCCTTCCGTCACATTCTTCTCGAATTCTAAATTGTCTTTACCAGATGATGTATCGTTATTAGAATCATTGAAGTCCGAGTAAAATTAATTACCAAAACCGTCAGTTGAAAATTCTGGGTGGCATGCTGTCCATTTTTTAATATTAAATTAATGATTGTGGGTAAAATTGACTAAAAAACCAAAAAACATGTCAATGTCCGCCCAAAAACAACAAAAAGTTACTAAAATAAAGTAAGGGAAAAATTTATAAATAAGGTGTTTAGTTTACATCAATTCAAAAATTATGTTTATAGTTTGAAAATTCAAAAATCAGGTTTTTTTTTTCTAATATAATATAATAAAATAAACTCACCCCACATGCACCACCCCTACTGCTCTGGGGACCATTCTGACGACCACTATTCTCCGACGACCATTTCGACTACTATTCCGACAATCATTCCGGTCATATATTTATAATTTAATTAGTCACATATTTTTCAGTCACAAATAATAATTTTTATACGTCACAGATTATTTTATGGTCACAGTTCAAAAATTTTCTAGGTCACATTTACAGATTACCGAATTTTAAGGTGACGAATCAATACTTTGTTGTAGATAAACAAATAATTGGTCACATAC